CCTATTCTCCGCGTCCGTGGGCAGCTGCTTGGCCTTGGCGATGATGACCTGGGTCTGGACCTTCAGCGAGCTGGCCCCAAGCATAACGGCACCGGTTTGGAAGAGCTCGCGGGCGCCGCGATCAAGCTGCTCAAGTATGTGCGACTGCTTGCCAACACGTGCACAGAAAGCCTCGAACTCCAGCAGGGCGGAGGCCAGGCCCTTGACGCGCTTGTAGTGCTGCACACCTTCGAACACCATGCCTCTGGCAGCGCCAGGGGGTCGAGGAGGAGGGGCCCTGCCAGCCCGATCGCCTGGGCGCTGATCCATCCACTCTCGGTGCTGCTCGAAGGCGCGAAGGTGCATGTCCACGACCTCTGCCCAGTCCTCTTCCGACTGGTCACGTAGCCGCCGAAGGTGGGCGCGGTATCGATCGCGGCTGCGAACTCCAGCACGATAAGCCGTCTCGCACATCTCTCGAGCTCGATGCCAACGGCGCGCATCGCGAGGCAAGGCTTCATCCCAGCCTCCTCCGTCCCAGAGAGGGTCAAAAGCAGGGTCCCGCAGCTGCTCCGCGGTGTAGGGCACGCACCACTCCATCCAGTCCTCGGTGACCTCCTGCTCCGTCTGCTGCTCGTTCCGAGGGTCGCCAATCCAGTTCTGCGTGTACCGTCGAAGCTCACGTTGAATGGCCTCCTGCCTGCGCTGGGCCGCTACCTGATCGGGGTCCTCTCCACGAGCTGCAGGAACAGGCTGGGGCTCAGGTACACGACTGTCATTCGGAAACTCGGTGAGCTCGTCTGACTGGGCGATCTCACCATCCATGCTGCTTCCAGGCACCATTGCGCATGGGTTTCTCCCCCCGTCCAGCGACATTGGCGACACATCAGGCACCTCGTACATGTCCTGGTCCTGGTCATCCAGCAGCCTATCGAGATCCTCGAACGGGTCGGCCTCGCCATCCATGTTGTGGAGAACGCCACCAGCCGCAGGACGCGGGGCGCAGGGGAGATCCCTCGAAGCAGCCGCTTGACCGACTTCCTGCAATGGCCTTACAGGGAGGTCATCAGGGCGAGCATCGCAGCACCTCTCAGCGCCGCCGCCTGCAACTCCATGTGCGAGGGCCTCGGCCACCCCATCATCGCGGGCCTCGCTCGGGCATGCGGGGAGGGCGATGGGGCGCGCACCGCAGCACCTCTCCAGGCCGTCTTCGGCAACTCCATGTGCGAGGGCATCGGCCACCCCACCGCGGTGGGCCTCGCTCGGGCTTGCAGGGAGGGCGCCGGGGCGAGCGACGCAGCACCTCACCAGGCCGTCAGGAGGAGGGTCTTGTGCGAGGGCATCGGCCACCCCACCGCTGTGGGCCTCGCTCGGACTTGCAGGGGGGGCGTCGGGGCGAGCGACACAGCACCTCACCAGGCCGCCAAGAGGAGGTTCGTGTGCGAGGGCATCGGCCACCCCACCGCTGTGGGCCTCGCTCGGTCTTACAGGGAGGGCGACGGGGCGAGCGTCGCAGCTCCTCACCTGGCCGCAAGGGGGGAGTGCATGTGCGAGGGCATCGGCCACCCCACCGCGGTGGGCCTCGCTCGGACTTACAGGGGGGGCGACGGGGCAAGCGTCGCAGCGCCTCACCAGGCCGCCTTCAGTTCCTTCGTGTGTGAGGGCATCGGCCACCCCACCGCGGTGGGCCTCGCAGGCAGCAGGCTGCTCGGTCAGGGTCGAGCTAGCCTCGGGCAGCGCCTCCACGCCTGGGTGGCGATCGAGGTCAGGGCGACCAGGCTCCGCGCGCTCACGCCCTTGTGCAGGGCCCACCTGGCCCAAACACGTGGCGGAGCCGTCCTGGTGCAGGGTGAGCTGCACAACCGTCTTCGTCACGTAGTCGTGCACGCCGAGGATGTGCTGGGCCCACCTGGCCGCAACATTCCACGCGCTCACTTCTGGCCCGTGTCGAGCTCGTCGCCGAGGAGGTCGCCACTCCAGCTGGCGGGTGCGCTGCTGCACAGGGCCTTCACGCCCCACGTAACATTGCTTGCGCGTGCCGACGATGTCGCGTCTGCCAGCCAGCTCCTCCTCCACGCCTCTGAGGACCAGGTCCCATGCCACCGCAAGCTGAGGAAGAGACTGCGCCCGATCGATAGAGAGATACACGTCCTCCCACCCATGCCAGGGATGCCTCGCGCACCCCGCGGGCAGCTCCCGAGGGAACGGGCGCGGCTCATCTAGCTCGCGCGCCATCGGCGCCTCGGTGCGCTTGGCCAGCGTGAGATGCACAGGCCTGCGTGGCCAAGTTATGTCGGTGACCGAAACGTCGACGGTGTACCTGGCCCCCTGGAGCATCGGGCGGTGGGCGAGGAAGTAGTCCAGGGTAGTAGCTGGCACGGCCTGCAGGCAGGTGGGCTCCCGCGGGACCACGCACATGGCATCGGCGAGGTGGAGCCAGTCATGCTCCAGCAACTCCTGCGGGGCCATGTTGAAGTCGCCGCCAACGATCCATGCCAGGCCTGGCCCTGTGACGACGCGCTTCACGTACTGCGCGACCTGCCAGGCGATGGCCAAGTTGCGAGGCGACCTGCCCTCTCCTGTGCGTAGATACAGCGCCGCGGCGACGAAGCCGCCAGGAAGTGCAGCATGCACGTGGGCTGCCACGGCCCTGCCAGGCACAATGGCCCCGTCATCCAGCAGCGGCGCCTTGGTGACGGCGATGTCCGTCTTGGCCAGGACAGCGACGCCGCCTTCCGTGCCGCCAGCCGCTGTGGCCAGCGCGGGGCACCACACTCCTTTCCAGCCCGAGTCCTGGGCGTCTCCCTGTACCTCAGGGAGCTTCTCGGCACCTGCATGGTGCTCCTGCGCCAAGACCACGTCGCTGCTGCATTCGGCGAGGTACTTGGACAGGGTGCCAAACGAGTTGGCGTTGACGGTGGGAATCTGTAACTTGCTGCGCGTCATGACTGGCAATGATGAGTACTCAGGCTGTGCGTGGCTTCTTGACCACCTTCCACTCGGGCTTGGCCAGGCGGATTCGCTTGACTGCAGCACGAAGTTCCTCCTCTGATGCATCTGCAGCGTTAGGAATGTCAGCACCAGACTCGCGCAAGAACTCGCGTAGCTCCTCGGCAGTAGCCTGGTTGACGGACTCCTCCTCCTGGGCATCGCCTTCGTCTGCCTCCATGGCGGCGTCGGCTCTGGCTGCTGCCTCATCGGCTTGCTCCTGCTGGGCCTGGGTGGCCTCGCGCTCGGCTTGAGCTTTGCGCTCCTGCTCCTGAGCCTGCCGATGCTGGCGCATCCTGTCCACCACCTTGGCCACGTCCTGTAGCAGATCAGGAGGAGCCTCAGCAGCAAGTAGGACTTGCTCCAACTTGGGCAGCGTCCAGCTGCTCTCGTCGTCGCCAGCGCCTGTGCCAGGAGCCGCTGCAGGAGGCTGCTGCAGCGCACCAACCAGTTGGGCCCGCTGGCCCTCGAGCTCCAGCAGCTGCTTGCGGGACTCGGCCAAAGCGGCATCCTGCGTGGCGATCTCCGCCTGCAAGGCCGCCAACTGCGCCTGCTTGAGCTCACGGGCCGTCTGCTGCTTGGTGATCTGCTGCTCGACATTGGTGATCTTGAAACCAAGAGACTTGAGCCGCTGCGAAGGCGGCTTCTCCTGGAACAGCTGCGCACGCAGCTTGACCTGCTCTGACTTGTACTGCTCCACCAGCTTCTCAGCCTCTGGCGTGTGAACCCCAGCGAGCTGCTTAATGAAGCCGTCCAACTCGTCCAATCTCTTCTTGACTGCCGACTCAGCACCAGCATCGCCTTCTCCTTGCTCTGCACCCGCCGTGGGCATCGCCGACTCGGGTGGTTTAGCTTTCGCCTGCTTGAGCTGCGACGTGAGCGATTGGACCTGCTTCTGCATCTCGAGCAGCTGGACCGAGAGCGACCCTGCTGCTTTGCCACCTGCGGCCCACGGCGCTGGCCGAGAGGGCGCACTGGGCTTGACGGGGCCCCCGTACACGACGCTCTTGGCCAGGCCGCGGCGCATCGGCAACGTCGGCGTGGAGCAAGTCGGGCTCCGCATCTAGCCGCACGGCCGCCGATGCACCGTCGACGCGGAGCGAACCTTCGACCCCGTCCACGCGGACCCCCTACGGGAGGCCTGGGCCCCCTGCCTCGTGGGGGATCTTCTGGCCCGGGTCAATCCAGATCCGGGCCAGTCAGGCCTGGCAAAATCCCGCAGGATCCTGCAAGATCTCGCAACCAAACCCGCGCCCATGCGAAGGATCGCGCAAGATCCTGCAAGATCATGCGCCCAAGCCCCGATCAGTGCGGCGCTGACCCTGCAGGATCCTGCACAGACGAGCGCGCTCCACTGCTCGCAAAGTAGCTACTCGCAAATGGCCTGGATCCCCCGCGAGGGATCTGCGGGAAATTGCATCAAAGCCGACGTGTGTTTTTCGGACGTTTGCGAGTAAGGCACTTTGCGAGTGGTGGAGCGCGCTCGGTGACTGCAAGATTGGCCGCACTGGCTTACCCACGTTTGCATTGCCCCCCGTCTCTATTGGACGCCCGAAATAGGCACGGAAAAATGGGCACAATGCCCAGCAACAAATGTTGTCCCAAACCAACAGCGGCCGCTGTTGGGAAGGCGGCCTTCTGTCTCAAATGTGCACGGGCCGCGGCGACACAGACAGCGAGTCCTGTTCAAAATGAACAAGAACTGCTGTTGGACATTGTACCCATTCTTTCCGTACCTTGAGCAGGGACCGACCGTCCCGGCATTCCTATAGTCATACCATGAAATGTTCTTAGAACCCAAAAATGTTATAATACCAAAAACACTGTTCTCAGAACATACATCCCATGTGTTAAACCGAGACGATCTTCGCCAGGAATGTTCTAAGAACATTTCGTCAAAACCACAGGAGGTTCTTAGAACATTGCTTGGTAGGGCTTTAGGCGAGCCAGGACGCTTCGCCACTGCTTGAAAAACCGCGTCGTTCTTGCAAATCTCTTGCACCCCGATGCATCGGCCGGGAGGCCCAGCCGGCGCCTGCACGCGCGTTCGAGAGCCCGGCGTCGCAGTCCTCAGCGTGGCCGGCAGCGGCCGCCCTCCCCGCCGCCCTCCCCGACCCCGCGGCCCCTGCTCGTGCCTCTGGCCCTCCTCCTGCTCCTCCTGCTCCTCCTCCCTCTCCTCCCCCTCATGCTCACCCTCCTGCTCCTGCTCCTCCACCCCCTCCTGCTCCTGCTCCTCCTCTTCCTCCCCGTGCCCCCCCTCCTCCTCCTCCTCCTCCTCCTCCTCCTCCCTCTCCTCACTCATCATCCTCCTCTCCTCCTCCTCCTCCTCGGCTCCTCATCCACCTCATTCCTCATCTCCTCCTTGCGCGCTCCTGCCTCTGTCCTACTCCTCCTCCTTCTTGATCCTCCTCCTGTTCCTCCCTCCTCCACCTCCTCGTCCTCCTCTTGCTTCTCCTGACTCCTCTGCTTCTTTACTCCTCGCATCTTGCTCATGGCCGCTTAGCGGGGAGAGCCTCTCCACGGCGCAGAAATGGCCCCTCGGAGGACGTAAGAGGGTGAGGCGCCCGGGGAAGGATACAGCTGCTGCTGGCTCTTTGGGCTAGCTCTCTGGCTTTTTTCAATTTGTACTGGCCCGCCCGGCCAGTTTTTTTGCGTTTCGCGTTTCCCGTTTCGACCCTCCTGGGGGGCCGTCTTCCGACTTTTGGGGTGGATTTCGACGCGCCACGTTTTTTCCTCGAGTGTTGGCCCGGCCCCCCCCACGCCCCGCCCCGCCCCCGGGGGGGGGGAAAAGCCACCAGGGTTTGTGTTATGTTCTATCGTACTTTAAGGACCACCCACATCCATGAAAAAACTTCGGACTCCCAGAAAAAAATATCGGAAACAGATGTTTCGAACACGAGTTTTCGGGGCAGTTATATTTTCCTCTTCCTCCCAGGGGACCAACACCTGAAAAACCCTCACGTTCCGGTTTTTTACCCCGGGAAAGGTGGAGGGGTACCCGTCTTGGTGCTCGAAATTCGTTTATGGTGATCAAGGCCAAAGTCGGCTCGGTGTTGGTGGCTGTGGTGGAACAGTGCAAAGTCAGGGAACCGAGGGAAAAGCCCACCCCAAGGACACGGCTCGGCGGCGGAGGGACCTAGGCCCCCAGGGAGGGCCCGCGGACCTCAAGCCCAAGAGGGGCTTTGCGCGACGACCGCCGCGCAAGCGAACGACGCGCTGCAATCAATCACAAATGCGGGCAAGCGCCCGCCGGCGCCGAAGTCGGCGCCGTCGGAATCGCCGCTGGCGTCGTTGTCGTCCGCCATCGCCGCGGTCGTCGTCGTCGAAAACGGCATCGTCGGCATCGCCGCCGTCGTCGTCGTCGTTGTCGTCGAAGCCGCCGCCGCCGCCGCCGTCGTCGTCGTCGTCGTCGTCGTCGCTGGCGGCATCGCCGCCAGCGTCGTCGTCCGCCGCCGCCGCGGTCGTCGCCGTCGTCGACGACGGAGTCGACGTCGTCCTCGTGGTCGCGACGACGACGTCGACGCCGCCGTCGTCGTCGTCGTCGGCCGGCCGGCCGCCGGAGCGCCGGGTGGCCGAGGCGCGGGCGAAGCGGCAGCCCCTGCCCTCCTCGCGGCAGCACCACTCCTCGCCACCCGGCGGGCGGCAGGAGAGCCCGGGATCGAATCGATGCAGCAGGAGCTCGACCACAAGTGTTCCACCACCAGAAGTTGGAGGGCGGAAGGGGGGGTCCTCCTCCGCCTCCTCCTCCTTCTCCTCCTCTTCCTCCTCCTCCTCCTCTACCTACTCCACCTCCTCCTCCTCCTCCTCGTCCTCTCCCTCCTCCCCCCTCCAACTGATGGCTGTGGTGGTGGAAAACAGGCCCATCAACAAGGAACCCAACCCTGAGACCGCAGGGCGTCCATGGACCCTTTGCGTGGGAGCGGCGCGCTCTCCCTGGCTCAGAGCCATCGAAGCCCGAGAAACCCAGGGCACCCTGGAGGCAAACAAGGTGTCTCTTGACTCTTGACATGGGCTTCCACTGTAAGTCGCATCGGCGGAAATCGGCAGCCAAGATGGGTCCTGTCGAACGGGCGGACCCGGCAAGCCACTGGGACTACACGGAGAAAGCGGAAACGGAATCGGGATCTCAAACCGAAACGAATCGGGATCGGAATCCATCGGAATCAAGTCGAATCGAATATTAGGTCGGGCGTGTCCCCCTATAGGCGGATTTTGGGTGGAAAAAGAAAAACAATCAAATATATTCAAACATGGCAAAACATAAAAGGAAAATGGTCTCCATCTTATTTGTTGGTTATTCTTGAATCTGTCTCCTGTAACATGCCCGACTAAATCTAATGGGCCAGAGAAGTGTATTGCATTGTATTGCAACTAACGCACTGCAAGCGACAATCCAGCAATACATGTGAGGCCAGGAATGTACTGCAAGCACCAAACCTATTGCAACCGACAGATCTACTGCACCGAATGCATCGCACCACCCCCTTGTAGCTGGACCCCCTTCTAGGTCGATCGGAACATGGCGCAGGAAGGTGAGGTCTGGGGCTCCGGTCGTGATGTTCCACCTCATTATTTGTTTCGCAACGTGGGGTGGTACTTCTGAGAAACTGCGAAGGTTAAGTGCTTCACCTGGTGGTGCTGTGCCCGCATATCATTTCTTTACTTGTTATATTGAAATGCTTTGCCTGGTGGTGTTTAGGGTCATGTTTAGGGTCGGGTTTGGGGTTGAGGGTCGGGTTTCGGGTTTAGGGTTTAGGCCCTACGGCGCAGCCCCCGCGGCATCCCTGAGGGCCACCAAACGCGAGCGGGCACGCACGGAACTGCATTTGGAACCCTCGGCCGCGGGCGCGCGGCGTACCGTAAAACACGGCATCCTCACACCCTTGGGGATGCGCGGCCACCAAACGCGAGCGGGCACGCGCGCGACGCGTCGGCCGAGGGCTCAAAATGCAGGTTCGTGCGTGCCCGCTCGCATTTGGTGGCCCTCAGAGATGCCGCGGGGGCTGCGGTTTAGGGTTTAAGGGGTCTGAGTGTTCCAGCTGGGCTCGGAGAGCGGAGGGGGCTCTCGGGCCGCCCGCCCACCGACGTCGTCCCGCGGCGTGCCGTCTGTGCGCCGCTGCGATGCCCCCTCCTTGACGCTGCGCGGCTCTCCTTGACGCTGCGCTGGCGGCTCCTCCTCCTCCTCCTCCTCCTCCTCCTCCTCCTCCTCCTCCTCCTCCTCCTCCTCCTCCTCTGTGTCTTCCTCCTGAGCCTTGTCCTCCTGCTCATCCGCCTTCTCCTCCTCCTCCTCATCCTCCGCCGCCTTATCTCGCCCCCCCTCCTCCTCCTCCTCCCCCTCTTCGTCCTCCTCCTCCTCCTGCTCGTGCACCTCTTCCTCTCTTCTCCTCCTTCTCGTGGAGCGGATTGAAAGGGGGGGAACTGGTAGAACAGAGAGGGATGTGGGAGGATATGAGGAAGATGATAAGGCGAAGGACGAAGAGGGAGAGAAGAGGAGGCAGCGGCGGGGGGGGGAAGCAGGGAAAAGCGGAGAAACGAACCGACATCATTGGAAAAATGCCTGTCTCAGATGTCGCATGCACCAGAGCAGGGACACACTGGGGAAGAGGGGGTGGGAGGAGGAGGCAGGGGCCGACGAGGAGGTAGAAGGAGGAAAGACGGAGAGGAAGTGATAGAGGAGGCTGGAGAATAGAAAACGCTCACACGGGAGGGGAAGACCCTCCCGTCCCTCCTTCTTGCCTGTCGACCAACCCGCTTTCCAATTGCTGTAGCCCTCGGCGCAGTCGTACGACACGGAGTCGTCCACCACGGCCGCGGTGGAGTCGTCCTGTCCGCACGCGCGGCGCCGCCACCCCCCTCCAGCACACACGAGCTCCAAATACTGAGCGTGCCACTCTCGAGAGTTGTGCTCAGCATCCCGCGTGAGGGCGGAAAACGAGGGCGTCCTGTGGTCGGGCACTTCTGCTTTTAGGGTCAAGTCAAGTCGGGCCTGTCCCCCTACAGGGGGATTTTGGACGAAAAATAAAACATATGAATAACAAATGCCAGAGAATTCTCAAACATGGTCAAACAATCGTCCCCAGCCTATGTTGTTACTATGTTTGAATATTCCCCTTTTGGAGGGACAAGCCCGACTTCATTTTGGGGTGTGCCGGCAGCGATCAAACAGCGGCGCGCTGTGGCCCGCAGGCTGCTGGCGAGTGGCTCTGCTTCGCCAGACGGGGGGCTGAAAGAAGCTCGGAACGTCGATCCATGGAGACTGGGACGTGGCTGGCGTGTCGCGCCGAAGCGCGGTGGGTCAGAACCGGCGGCACGACGCGCCGAGCAAACTTTTTTACGGACCGCATGCATGCCCTGGGACGCCCACGAGAGGCCCACGGGCGTCCATGACGTGCCTGCGTGCGAATGGGCCCAGGGATCGGGGCTGCAGAGGCACCCTTGCAGGAGCGAGTGCGTCCCGGAGTGGGCGCGCTGCAGTATGATGGGCTCTGTGTGCACCCTGGCCAGCGAGGACTCCACGGATGCCCTCGGGGGCAGCGCCATCGAGGGAGCCGTCGCCGAACGACCACGCCACCACGCCCAAAGGGTCGCAGATGCTGACGTGCACGCGCGTGCAGCCTGCTGTCTGTCTCGCTCCGCGCCTGCCCTCGCACCCTGCTGCTGCGGGCGCTCTTGGCCTCTAAAGCGGCGCTCCGCGCTGCTCACACGGCGCGCCCCCGATCACGCGCCAGAGTTCGAGCAGGGGGGCCGCCTGCAGAATTGGTGTGCCCCGGGATCGATGTCCCCGTCGAGCCTACGGAGAACACGCAGAGCAGCCGAAGACATACAGTCGGGGCGCTGACCTAAGGCGCCCGCAATAAGGAACGAGGCCCCTTTTTTCCCAAACGTTGAACTTCGATTTCCAATGCAAAACCTCGGGAAACCTAAGGCAGACTGCACAACAATCAAGGAACACCGAGCCCCTCCCCAACGAAAAGGGTTCCTTCTTCAGCGCCCCGACTGTACGAACATTCAGAGCTTTTTCTTTCCAGAAGCTCGACGAGATATCGAGAGAATCAGTTCTCGGGCAGGGGCCGACCTTCCCGTCATTCCCATAGGCCTACCACGGTGCGTTCTTAGAACCCACAAATGTTCAAATAACAAAAGCACTATTCTTAGAACGTGAACCCGATGCGTTCAAACAAGACAGTCCCAAACAGAAATGTTCTAAGACAATTCCGTGCAGACCTCAAGAGCATTCTCCGGGTGGACTATGAGCAGACCGGGACGCCTCGCCACTGCCTAAAGTTCTGGCGTACAGCGACTCTGTAGTCGACCCCCCTGCTCGTAGAGTGTGCCACGCTGCTCGCAGACGCCACCCGCCCACTGCCCACACCGGCGCACCCTCTCAGAGGGGGGGCGCGAGTCGAGGCGACGGTGGCCCCCGCTCCTCCTTCTGCTCTCTCCCCCCCCCCTCGCTCGGCAGAGAGAGAGGGGGCCCAGGAGTCCTGCTGCAGCTCCTGGGAGCATCCCACACCATCTTGTCGGCTCCTGCGAATCGACGCTGAATCGACTCTGAATCGACGCTAAATCGACGCTGAATCGACGCTCGTCGGCGCTAGCCGACGATAGGTCGGCGCTATCTCATCGACTCCCAGACGCTGATCGACGCTGATCGGCGCTCAAGACGGAACTTACGATTAGGTTGGGCATGTCCCCCTACAACGGATGTTGGACGAAAAATCTATAACGAGTACCCGCAAATACCTCCAAATAGCCAAAACATACTCAAACAATCGTCCCCAGACTATTTGTTCACGATCTTTCAATATTCCTCCTGTAGAGGGACGCGCCCGACTTAAATTAAGGAGGAGATACAAGGCTCCCATGACTTGCTACCGAGCTCCGACCGCTCGGCAGAGAGAGGGGGCCCAAGAAGTGGGGATCCCACAATGGACGCGAGAAAGCGGCCCTCCAATCACGATCGAGGAGGGGGCAGGAGGATCAAGGAGGGAAGGAGGAGGAGGAGGAGGAGGAGGAGGAGGAGGAGGAGGAGGAGGAGGAGGAGGGGGAGGGGGAGGGGAAGCTCAGTTCAGTTCAGTTGGCCCTGGGAAGCGGTCCACTCACACTAAGGGCAGCGCGGCGAACACCCTTGGACGTCGCACTGCGACAGGGTATGGGCCTGGAGCTGTCCTAAGCGACCATGGCCACTCGGGACCAGCCCGCGCTGCCCCTCCAGAGGCGATCCGCACCACAGGCGCGCAGCCCTGGGCGGGTACCTCCACGTGGACCCGCGGCTCACAGTCGGGGCGTTGACCTAAGGAACCCTAAATAAGGAACGAGACGCCTTTTTCCCAGAAGTTAAACTTCGATTTCCCATCGAAACCCTAAGCAAAACCGAAGGCGAACTGCAAAACAACCAAGGAACACCGAGCCCCTCTCCAACGAAAAGGGTTCCTTCCTCAGCGCCCCGACTGTACGTCCTTCCTCCACGCCCATCGCCCCCCGTCCCACCCGCCGAACCCCTCGCCCCTGCGCACCGCGCGATCGCTCGCACTGCGAGGGAGGCTGGTCTCGGGGACTGGGGGGCTGTGTTCGTGTACGTGGTTGGGCGCGTCCTCCTTCTCCTCCTCCTCCACAATTACTCAATATGAATACTACTCTCCCTCTTCCCCTGATGACGGCTTGAAAGTATTAGCCCCCCACCGCGTACTGATTTTTACACACAGGATTCCCCGGAGTTGGGTTTTCGCCTGCATGTTTTCCCAAAATGCTGCTCTCGCTGAGGCGCGGGCCTCTTTTTCGGGCCCCGCTCGTTCCGAATCGTGTTCCCGCTGCAGCACTGGCCTCATTTCCGTGCTCCCGCTCGTTCCGAATCGTGCTCCCGCTGCAGCGCAGGCCTCATTTCCGCGCTTCCGCTCGTTCCGACTCGTGCTCCCGCTGCAGCGCTGGCGTCATTTCCCGTGCCATGCCACGGCATGCAATGCAATGCTAGGTTGATACTACGCTTCGCGGTGCTCTTCTACGCCATGCCATGCCGTGCTCTACAATGCATCGCGTACCCTTTCGGGATCATTGCCCTGCCGACATCCGACTGTGCGAGTAGAGAGGGGATCTACATGGTAAGGGATGGGAGGGAGGGGGTGGGATGTCAAATATGACGCGAGCGCACCTAGCTTGTCCCCCTCCCCCCTCCCTCCTCCTCCTCCCCCGCCCCTGCTCCTCCCCCCCCTCCTCCTCCTCCTCCTCCTCCTCCTCTCCTCCTCCCCTCCTCCCTCCTCCCCCTCCTCCTCCCCCCCTCCTCCGCCTCCTCCTCCTCCTCCTCCTCCTCGCCCTCCTTCTCCTCCTCCTCCTCCTCCTCCTCCTCCTCCTCCTCCTCCTCCGGGCGTTTTACCAGGTCTACAGAGGCCTCTAGCAATCTCCAGAGGCCTCTGGAAGCGTCTGTACACCCTGCGAAGCCCTCGGACACGACGACGACAACGACGAAGACGACGACGACGACGACGACGAGGACGAGGACGAGGACGACGACGACGACGACGACGACGACGACGACGGGGACGAGGGGGCGGTCATGGTCAGAGGAACAGAACAGCCAGCGCAACATGGCCACGGGGCGTAAACAGCATGTCCGAAGTGTTCCGCGCGGACGTCCTGCATCGGCGCTGGGCCCCGAGCGCGCCAGGGGCGGCGCTGGAGGCGCCGCCTGGAGAGGGACCTTCGCTGACCCAACAGAAATGCGAAGGAACTCAGAGAAATTATGTTTATGCCGCTACTCTCCTACTCCTCCTCCTCCTCCTCCTCCTCCTCCTCCTCCTCCTCATCCCCCTCCTCCCTAGTCCCTGGAATCCCCTGCCTTGGCGCCCGTGCCGACTTTTCAGTGCAATATTTTTTCTGCCAGTTACTTGCCGCCGATAGTCAGCAGGCTTCTTGTCGGTGATCCTCGGTGCGTGCCTTAGCCCCCACGTGTGCTTGCGCACCGAAGCCCCTCGGTAGGACTCCGGCGGCGCAGTGAAAGGCCGACTCAGGTTGCCTGCTGCTGGCGGAGATGAACGGGGCAAAGATACACGCACACGCACACGCACACGCACAGACACACACAGGCACACACACACACATCCACACGCACACCCTCACCAACACGCACCCCCCCCCCTCCCCCCCCCCTCTCCACACACACACACACACGCACGCACACACACGCACGCACGCACGCACGCACGCACGCACGCACGCACGCACGCGCACACGCACACGCACACGCACGCACACGCACACGCACACACACACACACATCCACACGCACACCCTCACCCACACGCACACCCCCACACACACATCCACACACACACACACTCGGCTAACATACGTCCTGAGGGTAATGGATTCGTGCATCACCGGCCTCGAAGCCATGAACATCCCGCTCGGCAGAGCGGGTCGGCGACTCCGACGGGTGTGGCTTGCGGGGGAGTGCGGCCTGCCGCGCGCGCGCCGGCGGGCGGGCGGAGACCCCGACAGAGTTCTCCGCCACGCCCCGAGCAGGCCCGACGAGGGAAACGCGGTGCCTGTCGGGCCCCAGCGACGCACCAAGGCCACGCTTCACGGCGAATTGCTGAACGGTGATGGTGGGAACCGACTTGTGGGAGATCACGAACCACGCTTTCCTGGGTCCCGATATGCGAACGTATCGCACGAGAGCGACACAACGCATTGCAGGACAGCGCGAAGAACCACGCGTTCCCACGGTGCCGACAGCTGCATCGCATCGCTGTTGCCTGCATCGCCGTCGGCGTGCCTACGGACGCAGATCAAAAAACCACGAGGGGGGAGGGATGAATGAGGACGGAGGAGGGAGGAGAGAGGAGGGAGGAGGGAGGACGGAGCAGGGGGGGCGAGGGAGGAGGGAGGAGGGAGGAGCGAGGAGCGAGGATGGAGGGGGAGGGATGAGGAGGGGAGGGGGGAGGGGGAGGGAGAGGAGGAGGAGAGGAGGGAGGAGGGAGGAGGGAGGAGGGAGGAGGGAGGAGGGAGGGCGGATGAGGAGGGAGGAGGAGGAGGAAGAGGAGGAGGAGGAGGAGAGGAGGAGGAGGAGGAGGAGGAGGAGGAGGGAGGAGCGTGGAGGGAGGAGGCAGTCGCCCTGGAGGGGGGCGGCCATGGTGTCCTCTCTGCCCGCGGCCGCGCCGCCCAACAACCCGTCGGCCTCGGGCCTCACGCGCGCGCGGGCGCGCGCCGTGATGCGGCGCACGGGTCGGACGGTTGGGCGGAAGAGGGGGGCGGGGGGGAGGGGGGGGGGCAGCCCTGGGCCTCCAGCGTGGTGGGAGCAGCCATGGGCCTCCTCCTCCTCCCCCTCCTCCTCCTGCTCCTTCTCATCCCCCTCCTCCCTCCTCCTCCTCCTCCTCCTCCTCCTCCTCCTCCTCCTCCTCCTCCTCCCCCACTCATACGTACTCTCCTCCGTGCCTGTGGGCGTGCGCGGGCAAGCTGGCAAACGCTCCGAACCAACATATGTGCTATGGGTTTCGCGGCTCTCCCAGCGACTCAGCCCCGGGCCGAGGGGTCGTCCACAAGGGTGAGCCTTTGCCTCGGCGTCGGTCTGGACGCCCACGGGCACTTGTCTGCTGCACTTCGCCGCGCAGCCGCCCGCCGCCGCCGCTCGCCGGAGGAAGCGGGGGGGATGATGGGGGAGGGTAGGCCAGGGGGGGTCAAAACTCAACGGAGCAGTCAGCACGCTGCTCCGGCCCGCTTCTGCCCGTAAGGGGCATCTTTCTGAGACATGGAGGGATCGGGAACATGAGGATGACGAGCAGCGCAGCAAGAAGGATCTTTAGAACCAAGCCAGTAGCACGCAAAGGGAGGGGGGGAACGGAGTAGTGGAGAAGAAGATAATCCAACCAAGGGCGAAGCGTTGACGAAGAAGGCGCAGGAGGAGGAAAGGGGGAGTCTGAGTCGGAGTGGGATGCCTTGGCAGCTGTCTGCATTCGGTCCTCGATGCCTGGGCTGCTGGCTAGGAAAGGGGGAGGAGAAGGAAGAGGAGGATGAGGAGAATGAGGAGGAGGAGGTGGAGGTGGAGGAAAGGAGGAGGAACCAAGGGAGGAAGCGGGGAGGAGGACGGGAGGAGGGAATGTGGAAGCAAGCGGGACCTGAGTGCCACCTGGAGTGCTGCAGCCTCATGGGCCAGACGCTCGCGTGGCTGGAAGAACCTCTCCACTGCCGGCAAAGACGAGGGAGCGCCGACCGAAACCACGGGGAGGGTCCGTAGCCGCGAGCGAGCCCTACCCCTGCCAGTGCCAGGGCCCAGGGCCGCGAGGAAGAGGGAGGAGGGAGGAGGGAGGAGGGAGGAGGGAGGAGGGAGGAGGGAGGAGGGGGGAGGAGGAGGAGGAGGAGGAAGAGGAGGAAGAGGAACAGGAGGAGGAGGAGGAGGAGGGAGGAGGGAGGAGGAGGAGGAGGAGGAGGAGGAGGAGGAGGAGGAGGAGGCGGAGGAGGAGGAGGAGGAGGAGGAGGAGGGGCAGGAGGAGGAGGCGGAGGAGGAGGAGGGGCAGGAGATCCCACGGCCCGGGGCACGATATCCTGACAATCCCGTGGCTCAAGCGGGGCATGTGAGCCCGCGTGTCCGCTCGCACACGCGCGGGGGCCGCCTGGGAGCGCAGAGAGCCACGGCAACATATGAACTTGCTCTTGGGACGGGCATGTTCTCCTACAGGTTGATTTTGGGAGAGACGCGAAAACTGGCCAACCAATTCTCCAGAGTGGTCAGAGCTAGTCGAAACATCGTCCCAAGACTACTTTTTTTCACTATCTTTGAATATGCCTCCTGTAGAGGGACATGCCTTAGCTAATCTTTTCCCCAGAGATATCTGTTCCCTCCCAAATAGAGGTATCGTCCAGATAGGGTACCAGTGATTTTTGGGTCACCCGCACACCGAAACACTATTTGTACAGGCTATAGTGTTCTACGCCGCTGAAATGACAGTCAACATACGTGCGAACAGTATTTGCACAAGGTTTAAGGTTCTACGCCGTTGAAATGACAGTGAAAAACTATTCAAACACTATGCTCACAAATATCATGTTCTACGTCATTGGAATGACTGTGAAAACGCACTCAAACAGTATTTGTACAAGTCAATCGAAGGAATTCTGAGGGATTGTTGAAGGAATTTTGAAGGAATTCTTAGGGAATTCTGGAGGAATTCTGAGGGAGTTTGCCAGTCAGAAAGGTTCGCCCATTCAGCAATTCATGTTTGAGCGGTTTGTTGACGTATGCGATGTCCCATTCTGCTGTTTGTTTTCTCATCAATTCATCAGTTCAGTGTTTTGTTCATTCAGCCAGTGTGAACGAGTAGGAACAGGAGGCCCAAGAAGGGTGCCAGGGAGGTCCACGAGGGGCCCCAGGAGTCCCAACGAGGGCCCCAGGGAGGCCCAAGATAGCCCAGGGGGCTTCAACTGCTCCGCAAACACTGCTTACACTTCGCCTGGCGGAAGGTCTTGGGACGCTCTTGTCTCGCATCCCTCCTCCTCCCACTCCTGGGTGTGACTTCTAGCGTAAAGGGTATTGGGTATTGGGTATTGGGTATTGGTCATCACGCAGCTGATGCTAACATTATTTTCACATACGCACGCGCGCAATGACACAGCGAGTAGCTAATGCATTCATGCATTTCCTGTGTCAGCTAAAGCATACATAAATGAAAGAATAAGAACAGGGCCGGATTTCCAGGCCACGCGCGTCGTCTGCCTTATTTGCGAGGCGACCGCCAATGAGGCGGCGCCCCTCAGCGATGCAGAGAGGCTCAAGGCGAGCGGTCTCCCTGTCGGGCCAGGCTCCGAGCACCACCATGCGCCCCCACCCGCGGCCAGGCCAGGGCCCTTTGATACAGTGGCCTGGCATCCACTCTCGGCCATCCTGGCGGCGGGCATGGCGCCCGCTGTGTTCCGATGCGAGATACCAGCCCCCCTGCCATCGCCACGACGGACTGGAGGTGGACCCTATGTAGAATACTGCAGGCCTATAGTCCTCGCCACTCTGGCTATCGGGGCTGAGCAAGGCGGTTCCCAACCGCCGGATCAGCTCCTCATCTTCCAAGTCCAGGAACTTGGGCTCCTCCGACTGCGCCAGCGACCGCTCTCGGAACACGGTGACCTCATGGATCGATCGCGTCGCCTCCGCGATCAGTTGCATGGCATCGTCTTGCCCTCTAGCCCACCTCGCAGTTGCGCGCTCCTCGCGCGTCGATGGCGCCCAGGGAATCCCCTTCGACCAAGACTGCCCCGCCGCCACTGCGCCAGAGGAGGAGGAGGCTGAGGCTGAAGGGCAGGTCGCACTGGCCATGGCCATTGATGATGCTGCAGGGTAGGCCGCATTCTTGATGATGGCGTCGGCAGGCCGCGGCTGTGCTGTCGCTACTGATGATCGTGAAGAGCGCAGTGGAGCAACGACCAGCGACACCTCGGCACAACCATGATCTGTGGCGCTTGGGACGGCCAGTGGGACCTGCCCCCCGGCATCGGCGGCTGACAGAGCGACAGCGCAGCCATGGCTTGCAGCACCTGGGACATCCAATTTGGCGGATGGAGCGATGGCAAAGTAGTTGCCTGTTGCAGCAATGTGAACCGATGATGGAGCAATTGCGCGGCCGCAGTGGCCTGAAGCGTCTGGGGCGGCCAGTGCGACCTGCCGCTGTCGCTGGCGCGGGGGCTCAGCCTCCTCTTCAGAGGAGCCCGTCGACAGCATTCTGGACGCCCTGCGATCCCACTGCTGCAGATCACGCTCCTGCCGCTGCCGCTCCGCCCGCTCCCAGCGCGGGTCTGGCGACTCCAGCAGCCATGGGCGCGGCGGGCGCGGCCCAGATCCTGCCGAATCCATCGAAGGCTTCAGCGCAACGTAATGCATAATGCACAACAGTAGTGCAACAGGGCTTGAGCCAAAACGGCAAACCGCTGAATGGATCAATAGATGAATGATGAATGATGAATGATGAATGTCATATCTCCGTGTATCGTATATCGCATATCGTATATCGTATTTGCACGTGTGCACGGGGCCCCCTTGGAACCCCGAGAGGGCCCCGAGAAAGCCCCAAGAGGGCGGACAACCCTTGCATCATTAGCACCGCTCCTGCCTCCTGGGAGACCTCCCCATGGGCTAAATTTGTCAAGCGCCCTGGGGATCTCTGCAGGGCCGGAACGGACGGAGTAGGCGGACGTCGGCATAGCTTGTGAGGACCTCTTTGAGCGCCATGGAACGGAGGGGGCGAAGCCGTAACACGAATATGGGGTATGGGGTATGGGGTATGGGGTAGGGGGTGTAGGCGTGTAGGTATAGGGTATGGGGTATGGGGTATGGGTTATGGGGGTATGGGGTATGGTATATGGGGTATGGGGTATGGGGTATGGGGTATGGGGTGTGGGGTACGTAGTATGGGGTATGGAGTTATGGGGCATGGGGTATTGGCGATATTGGGTTTTGCGTATGGGGGTATGAGCTATGGAGCTATGGGGTATGGAGTACAGGGTACAGGGGTATGGGGCAGGCGGACGTCGACAAAGCGGCAAAGCTTTAGAGGGCCCGTTGAGCGCCATGGAGCGGAGGGGGCGAAGCCCTGACATGAAAACATGAGTAGCGTGCACGCGGACGTCGGCAAAGCCTTAGAGGGCCCCTCGAGCGCCATGGAGCGGAGGGGGCGAAGCCCTGACATGAGTAAGGGGCAGGCGGACGTCGGCAAAGCCTTAGAGGGCCCCTGGAGCGCCATGGAGCGGAGGGGGCGAAGCCCTGACATGAGTTCTGTATTGTCGAAATATAAAAAAGCCGACGCGTTCTTTCAGCTGTCTTAAAGAATGCTAGAATGCTACGACTTTTCAATTTCTTTCTTTGACTTACATGTACATTATTTTTTTGTGAACAGTATAAAAATGAAACTCAGAGGCGCGCGCGCGCAGCTCTGAGCTTCAGTTCTATATTGTCACAATATAAAAAGCCGACGCTTTCCTTCAGCCTCCTTAAAGGGCTCCAGGATGTTTCAATTTCGTTCTTGGAATTGAATGTCGGAGTATCTCTTGTGAACAATATAGAACTGAAGCTCAGAGGCGCGCGCGCGCGCCGGGTCACCATGGTGACCCGCGCGCGCGCGCGCAACTCTGAGCTTCAGTTCGGTATTGTCACAATACAAAAAGCCGACGCGTTCCTTCAGCCTCCTTAAAGGGCCCCAGGATT